AGGAGAGTAGCTGTATGTTGTAGAGCTAGGGCATGAGACGGGGAGCAAAGGAGGAGGTCATCAGTGTATTGAAGGAGCAAGCTGGGCTTGAGATCAAGGGTCTCAAGGTCAGCAGCAAGGGCTTGACTAAAGAAATGGGGACTATCTCTGAACCCCTGAGGCAGGACTGTCCATGTAAGCTGTTGAGATCTAAGAGTGTCTGGATCAGTCCATGTGAAGGCAAAGAGGTCCTGACAATCTGGGTGTAAGGGGATGGTGAAGAAGGCATCCTTGAGGTCTAGGACAGTAAAGTGAGTAGTGGAAGAGGGGATATAAGAGAGCATGGTGTAGGGGTTTGGCACCACTGCGTGAATAGGTGTAACTGCATTACTGACGGCCCTGAGATCTTGGACTAAATGATAGGAGCCATTGGGTTTGAGTACTGGAAGAATGGGGGTATTATATGGCAAGTGAGTAGTTCTAAGAAGACCAATGGTAAGGAGGCGGCTAATTATAGGTTTTATTCCCCATTGGTGTTTAGGGGCAATAGGATATCAGGGAATACAAGGAAAACCTGAGGGGTCTCTGAGGTGGACTGGTACTGGGACAGCACGGGTGGTACGAGTAGGGCTTGAAGTGTCCCAAACTATGAGATCTACAAGAGATGGGGGAAGTGGAGGAGATGGGCTAGCCGCACGTGGAATCGAGGTGTGGAGGATTAGCGCCGTGGGGAGGGAAAAAATAAAGGAGAAGTTAAGCTTTTGGAGGAGATCTCTACCTAACAGGGGTGGGGGGGTGGGACATGTTGGTATAACTAAAAAACTATGAGTGAAGAGAGAGTTTGAAACCTGCAAGGGATAGGCCCTGTTTGCAGAGGTTGTGTAGGCTTGCCAACAACTCCTGCTACAGAAATCTTTGACCTAATACAATGACCTGAAAACTCAGGAAGGACACTATATGTGGCCCCCATGTCTATAAGAAAAGAGAGCATTCTACCTCAAATATCCAGTGAGACTCGGGGTTCCGATGATACCGTCACACAGAGGGCCAGACACCATCGATCTTCAGCGTCGATGATTCCCAGTAGATCGACCAGTGGCCTATCTGCCACAGGTGGCGAAGCAGTTAGCAGCGTGTTTCTCTGTGAGGGTAAGGAATGGATTGACTTACCTGCTCTCTGGCGGATGGGGCAATCGACTTTCCAGTGTCCCTCAAGGTTGAAGAGGGGGCAAGGGTTGGGGCAGGCTCGTGCCGTGTCCATTTTGCTTGCATTTGAAGCAGGGTCTTGGTGGAGTTTGGGTCTTGGCACCATCCTGTTGAGGCTCCTGTTTGGACTTAAAAGTCTGAGTTGCCTGTTGGACCCCAAACATCACTTCCAAGAGCTTTTTTGAAAAGGTCAGCCTTGTATTGGGCATGTTCCTTTCTTTTTTGCTCTTGTTTTAAATCTTGTAGTTGCTCTCTATTGTTAAAGACGCGGAATGCCACCTTAAGGGGTTCCTCCTGAGAGGCCTGTGGGCCTTCTGGCACCTTTTGGAGTTTTATTCTGTCTGGTGCCGAAACAGGAGTTGATCCGAACTATACCTTCACGAGACTGAGGATCGATATTAGTGAGTTTAGTTAATGTTTCAGTGAGGCATGAAAGAAATTCAGCAGGATTTTCATCAATTCGTTGGGTCTGTTCTTTTAATTTATTATAATTCGTTTCTTTGTGGGAGATTTTATTTAGGCCTTCAACAATACAAGTTATCATACGTCTCACCCGCCGGGGCCCATCTGCTGTTTGGTAATTCCAGTTAGGCGCTCTATCTGGGACCGCATCCGCCCCTGCAGGTGCTCTGGATCCAGTGGCTGTTCTGATCAGCTATGGCCTGGGCGGCCTGCCACAACTGTTTTCTGTTGAGGATTAAGCGTGGAGCCAAGAGTAGTAGACATCTTTCCGATGTAAATCATAGGCGTTAACTCTAAATTGAAGTTCTTTAATGTATGTATGAGGGTCAGCTGAGAAGGATCCCATTCGGTGACTTACATCGGAGCGATCCCGGACGGAAAGGGGAACATGAATACGAACGAGTCACCCAGGGCCTGCCTGTTCTCGAAGAGGAAAAAGGGACTGGGGCTTATTATCATCAGGCAGGATTTGGCGGGATGGCAGTGGCTTATGATGCGATGTAGTGCCACAAGAAGGCATCTTTGTATCACATGATGAACCGCCATGCCCCGCAAGATGGCGGCGGCTCATCATGTGACAGAGTGCTGGAAATTGGCGCTCTGACGTCATAGGAAGAGCGACCACAAGATGGCTGCCGCCTACATGACCCCCCCAGATGGCGGTGGTTCCTCATGCGACAGAGCACTGGAAGTTGGCGCACTGATGTCCCAGGAGGAGTGACCTCATAATGGTGGCTGGCAGCCACATGGCCCACAAGATGGCGGTGGCTGGCCACATGGCAGGCCACCACAAGTTGTTGGTGCATCGGGAGGTTGAGTCACGCGGGAGGAGAAAAGGAAGGAGGAGACGCTGGCTCCGGAGGTTCTAATGCGGAGGAGGAAAGAGAGGCGGCGGCACGAGGTGAAAGTGACAAGGCAAAGTTCCCGGCGGAGAGGGTAGCACCGGCGGATATGGCGGAGGAGTACCTGGAGGACGGCAGCGTGGGCACATCATTAATAGGGCGTCGGAGAGGAGTGTGGTCGGAGGGAGCGTTGGGGCGGGGTCTGGCGCGTGCAGCCGCAGGGGTGCTTGCTTGCCTCGCCCGAGGGAGGGCCGAGTCCGGACGCAGTAAAGGCCCGAATGGGAGCAATCTCTTGGCATCTGCCGGTGCGGCGAGGGGTTTGGCATCAAAGGGTCCCTCCCCGGCCATTCGCTGCCACTGTCTAGACTGTGGCCAAGCCGTCTGACGGTAGAAAATCAATCGTTTAGGTTTGAGGTGGCCTCGGAGTCCGAGGGCGCTGAGGTTAAGACACAACCCGGCGGGGTGTGCTTTGGAGGCCGGGAAGGAATATTTCCCATAGTGACCGAATTAAAAAGGTGAGCCACAGGTGAGGGCAAAAGCCCGACGTCCCTTCCCGCTAAAAGCCGTCACTTTTTAGCCTGGAGTGAGTATGAGAGAGAGCAGGCCAACACCCACTTTATCAGTAGTCACTAGAAAGAGCAGGGAGCCGGGGGCCAGGCGGCCGAGGAAGGCGGGTGGGGAACCGACGTGAGCTTATGATTTTCCAGACGAGATTTGGGGCTCACCTGGGTGGATTAAAATTAGCCGGTGTTGGATGCTAGCTAGCGACGGCAGGCGGCAGAGGCAGAAGTGGAAGCAGAGGGCGGCTCGGTGGGGGAGCTCAAAACCGGGGCAGGGGTGCCCCGGGAGCCACACGACCCGCCATCCGAGTCACGGCACCAAATGACAGAGTTCACCCAGCAGCGATGGTGGCGGCACCGCAAAGAGACAGAAAAAAGAGACTTTCATTGCAAACACGGAGGACCGCAAGGAAAGACACGCAGAAACCCTCGGGCCCAAACAGTGGAGGGCAGCTATCTTTGTAGGTTCCTAAAGGGGATGGGGCCTTGGGAGGTGTGATGACGTTGTGAGGGTTCATTGGATAGCCTCCTGGGAGGTGAGGTAAATCATCTTGGTGTGCCAGATGAAGGGACTGCTGGGAAGAAGAGGTAGGTAGTTGCTCTAGACTCATTGTCACCTTGTGGAAACGTCATGGTGATTCAGCCAGTTCCCACATGGGCCGGACACATCAGAGCCAGCTGCCACTTTCATCCAGGCCCCAAAGTTGTCACCGGTACTTCTGTGTCACAAAGGCACAGCTTCCAGCAGCTTCCGTGTCATTGGCCCTTGCAGAGCTGTCAGCCTTCCTGGCCAGGGCTTGCTGGGCACCAGGCTGTGGCTCATCCTTGTGGCTCACTGAGCCAGGAGCATCTACCAAACTGCCAATTCCTGGAGACACTGAAGGGAGAGGCCCATGTGGGAACTGGAGGAAGATTTACAGAGCAGGATTTCATAATGAACAGTGAAAAATTTGCCAGGACCCTACACAAGGAGTCCGTTAGGAACTTTAAAAAAATACAGGTTACTGTTGTTTTGTGTCTTGAGAACAGAATCAAACTTCCAAAGTCTGAAAGCCCAACTACCACTGACTTCAGTAGCATGAACTTGGAACTTCCTTCTTTTGCTTATGGAAGCAACGGTTTCTTGTGATTCGCTGCCTCTGACACCCTTGGCCAGTGTGAGACCACTCCTGCGATTTGAGTTTAACATCTCTGTTCGCTGTTAACACGCAGGCAGTCACATTGGAGAGGTGACTGACCTCATCCAGAGCAAGCGCCACACCTCCCAAAGGAAGACCCCATTCCTTGCAAGTGGTGCCAGCGCCCCTCAGAGCTAAGGCTTCTCCTGTGGGGCTGTGGCATGCAGGGTGCCCTTGGCAATGAGCATAGGTCACAATGAACAGTACTGTAGTGGGAGACCACTCAGCCCCCACTCACTGTCCACTTCTAGCAGTGGCGAGGGGTGGTGTCTCCAGTGGCCCTGTGGGCCTGGGTCCATGGCATATGGGGGCCCCTCTCAGGTGCTTGACACCACTGCTGTGTGCCAGCCCAGGCTTTCTATTTTCTATGAAACAGTCACAATACTTTAAAAAAAAAAAAACAAAAACCAAAAACTTTTATTATGCAATTATTTCCATAAGATGACAGACAGGGAAAAGAATCATATCACAATTCATTGTATTGACTGCAGAAAATGTTCATAACCACTTCATAGAAATTGTAATAAAAATGTGCAGTTACACAATATTTTGGGAGATACATATCTGAATATTTTGTCCCATATGCCCATGAGATTTATAGTCACCAGTGCAAGGCTGAAGCCACCAGTATGGGGTGTCAAACAGCTCCAGGAAAACTATTACAGGCTGTGTCCTCCACAGACCTGCCCTCCACACAGCCTCAGGTCCTGGCTTTGCAAGTGCAGATGCAGCGTCAGGTCCCTAACCCAAGTCACAAACATTTCCAAAGCAAGAACCCAAAGGAGAAAAATCTTTAATTGACAAATATTTCAATAGCAGGTTGCCAGACCCCAAAAAAAGTATGGAATGGTGAGCAAGCTGTGAACAAAACCTTGGTAGTCCTCCCCCAGGCGAGTGCATGGCGAGGACCCCAGTGTGACAGGCACGCACCCCACAGACTGCAGGTGTCCTGTAGGGAGGGAAGCCAGGCGGTGTGAGCAACAGCTTCCCTCAGCTGGTAGAGGCGAGTTCCAGGTACATCCCCAGTATGATCCGAGACACTTCTCCCCACCAGCCTCAGTCTGCTCACAGCTGGAGCATGGCCAGGACAAGACGGAGGGCAGTGCTGCAGTGGCCTCAGGACCGCGTGACCATGTTAGGTGGCATGAAGCCTGTGTCCCCCAGGGTCCGGAGTGCAACCCGGCCGCTGGGGCGGATGACCAGGTGGGTGATGCTGCCGTTGTTCAGGGACAAGCGGAGCCAGCCTTCTGGGGGGAACTGTAGTGCTCTGGAGAGAGAGCAGCAGTGGCTGAGCGCAGCTGAAGCACAGCTGTGGGGGCGTAGCTCAGGTCACCTGAGGGACTCCGTCTGCTGGACCCAGGCCCTAGCACCCTATCAACTTGAGCTGTATACAAGAGAGAAATAGTTTTCCTGCAAGTGAAAGGATTTAACTTCTGCTCTTCCAGGACAACAAAAAAGGGTAGCTAAAGGGTACATTTTGTGTGTGTTTTACTGGGGATGAAACCCAGGGCATCATGTGTGCAAGGCAAGTAGTACTCACCACTAAGCAGCACCCCCTAGACTGTATATATGTAGGTATTTATTTTATTTATTTTTTGGCAGAATTGGGGATTGAACTCAGATCCTTGCGCTTGCCAGAGAAGTGCTTATTCTACTGAGCCATCTCCCCAGCCCTATTTTTAATTAATTTTTATTTACTGAGGCAGGGTCTCACTAAGTTGCCTGGGCTGGCCTGTGATCCTCCTGCCTCAGCTTCCAGAGTAAGTGGAGCCATAGATATGTCAGTGTCCCCAGCTCTGGCTTTGTATCAGCACTTTATTTAACAGAGAGAAGGCAGCTGTAACTCCGTGTTTCCAGTAACTACTGGTTCCTCTCCAGTATTAGTGTTACCACCTAGTGACTGTTATGGGACATGTGATGTGCTGTCAATAATTTATTATCAGACTGCCCAGCAGAGAGCATGTGCAGAGCCATGGCAGAGGTGGACCTATGCCACCCTGGAAATGCCAGCCCTTGTTGGTAGCTTGAACCAAGCAGCTGCATGTGAGCTGAAGCACCCACACCACCAACAGCTCTGCGCCTAGTATGGACCCACCTCAGTTGGGCGGAATTTAGTTCGCATAAGACAGCCCTTGGTGACCGAAGCCCTTGGTTACTGAAGCTGGGCTCTAGGAGAGGCACCGTTAGTTACACACAAATTCAAACTCTTCACTTGTGGGGATTTGTTCACCCTTTGCCAAATCACCCAGGGGGACACCCATATATTCAGTGAAACCCACATGGCCCATTCGCATCCCACCTAGATAGACCCTAACGGTGGTGGTACCTGCTTGAGGACTATGCACAGCCCCCTGCCGCCGTTTACCACTTACAACAGGAAGCAGGCGTGGCCCACAACTCCCATCCAGGCCCTGCTGCCTGCGCCCAGCAAACCCTCAGCACCAGCACCAGCTCACAGCCATCTATCCATGCAGTTCCCCATGCATCAGAGACTGCTGCCTCACAGGGGTCCGTGTGTAACTGACTAGGACCCTGCTGAAGACAGACCAGGACAACTCAGCTCCTGCACGTGGCAGCAGGGGACCCGTGTGTGGGAACCTGGCTCTGCCCCTGGGCTTCATTCTCACTCCATGCCACAGGGTGCCCACCTGCACACAATGTAGCGGATGACGTTGGCATGGCATATGAAGATCTCATAGCTGTCCTCTTCCTGCTCAGCATCAGCTCGGTGGATGTAGTTCCGGAAAGCAGCCTCGATCCTTGCTCCGTCTTCATAATACTGCTGAAGGCAGAGCAAGGAAGCATCAGCCCAGAGCAACTGCAGGCCAAGCTGGTGAGGCAGCAAACCCTCCCACCAGGCAGCCCAGCAGGGGCTTTTACCACAGCCTCAGGTTTCCAGTGTGACACAGGCGGGTCGGGCTCGATGGGGGCGCCTTCCCGCAGCAGGTCGGTGCTGACTCTGGAGACATCTACAGGGGACAGGGGGCTCACAGTGCCACAATGGGAGGTGCACTATACCCACTTTGCATGGTTAGTGGTCAGGCAGGGACTAGGTCCCAAACAGCACTTACCTGGCAGGTGCTTGCTGATGATGTCCGTGGTCTCCACGGCGCGGGTCATGGAGGAATGGATGATCTTGTTAAATTTCAACCCCAGGCTGGCAAGGCGGAGGCCGGTGAGTTCTGCCTGCTCCCGACCTTGAAGGGGAAACACCTGAGAAACTCAAGTGTCTAGACACCCTCACTCCCTACAGACACTGATCCCATGTGGCACCAAGCTCCTACAAGGGTCCCGCCTCACTGGCCTGGGTCACAAGCAAGAGCAGTGGATGCCCTAGTGGTGCTCCTCCCTGCACAGGGGATGCAGCTGCTCCATCAACTGCATGACCTGCACACTGCCAGAGCTGGGCAAATCGCAGTCCAGCACGGCCTCCAGCCCTGTGACAGATACTGCTGCACACAGACTGGGGCCTTAGTGCTCCTGAGTAGGCTGATGCAGCCCCAGGGCCTCTTCTCAAATGTTTTACGTCTGACTGAAAAAGGCCCAGCAAGGGTGCTTCCTCCACATGCAACCGCCTCCACACTGGGTGCTTGTCTGTGCACAGGAGCCAGACACTGCTCTCAGAAGTGGCATGCTCTGTGGAGAAAAGGCCTGGGATCTCCTTCCTACCTTTGAATTCTTGGACACGTGGGGAGTTGGAAATACCAACTGTTGAAGATAGCAACTCAAGGGCCAGGGAGATAGCTCAGTGGAATAAGCGCTTGCCTGGTAAGCACAAGGTCCGGAGTTCAATCCCCGGTACCATTAAAAAATAATAAAATAAATAAAAAAATAAAATAGGGGCCAGGGAGATGACTCAGTAGAATAAGCACTTCCCTGGCAAGCGCAAGGGTCTGAGTTCAATCCCCAGTTCCCGACAAACACAAACACACACACACACACACTCTCTCTCTCTCTCTCTCTCTCTCTCTCTCTCACTCACTCACTCACTCAGCCAGTTGTGCTGGCAGCATTGGAGTCCCAGCTACAAAGGAGGCTGAGATAGGAGGCCTGATAAGCCCAGGAATTCAGGGCCAGGTGGGGAAACAGAGCAAGACCCTTCTCTAAAAACGAAATTTAACACTGAGTTCACCCAGCAATCCCTTTTCCAGGAACTTCTCCTGCAGAAACATGGCATAAGGCTCAGACAATAGCCTCTATGGCAGAAGTTACAAGGACCCCCGCTGCTGGCATACACAGCAGTGCAGTGACAAGCTCCATGACAAAGACCCTCATCAGGCAGACTCATCAATGCTGAACAGAGAGGTTTGGGGCCCGGTACCAGGCCGGAAAGACACAGAAGGCACAAGCAGATCCAGGAGCCCTGTGCACAAAGCCCCACTAAAACAAGCACCAGGGCTGGGGAGATGGCTCAGTGGAATAAGCGCCTCCCTGGCAAGCGCAAGGGCCTGAGTTCAATCCCTGGTTCCGCCAAAAAAAAAGCACCAAACTTGATCTCATGCAACAAACCCTGACCACAATGCTTTTCATGGGGTTTTTTTTTTAGTGCTGGGGCCAAAACTCAGGGCCTACTAGGAAAGTGCACTGGAAAGGCTAAGCAGCCATGCCCTGGGCCTAGGATTTTTAGGGATATGAGCAGGAGCCTTGCTCCTGTGCAAGTTCAGCTGATAATCATGACAGTGACAATATTCCCACCTGAGTGATGGACCCCAGTGCCCAGGCACCCGTGAGGCTCGTCGAGGGGGTAAGGGACCAAGACACATACCCAGCGGAGTCAGTGTGCAGTCCTCTTCCTGGGCGCCATCCATGTGGTACTGGGAATGCCGGATGAGGAAGATGTGCCGTGTGGCCTTGACCTTGTAGTGGTCCAGCCTGGATGCCAGCTCTTCTTCTCCAGATTCCACATTCCTCTTGCGAAGGTTGATCAGAGACAGGGGTTCTCGCCTAAAGGTGGAAGTAAGATGAGGCCTTGTGACTTCTGTTGCAAGATGTTCGGAGTTCTGGGACTAGATGGTATCTCCAGCCATGATGATAACAGAGAAGAGCGTGGTTGGAAAGCTAAGGCTCAGCACCAGCTGGGAGAAGCCAGCTCCTTAAAGCACACCAAAGACAACTGACACAGGAAGATGTGCTTAGGCTGTATGTAAATACTATACTGTTCTACATTAAGAGAGGAGCATTCTTGGGGCCAGGGAGATGGTTCAGTAGGATAAGCACTTGACTGACAAACGCAAGGATCTGAGTTCAATCCCTGGTTCCGCAAAAAAAAAAAAAAAAAAAAAAGAAGAAGAGAGGAGCATTCAGATTTTGGTGTCTTGGGGGCCTGGCCCTAGCTCAGGCCTTTAAGTGGCTGCTTCCACAAAGCTGTCAGCCTCAGGTTGCTGGAGTTTGAACCTCACACCTCTCCCGCTGGCCAAAAGTGCCCTGAAGGCATTCGAGGAACAAAAACAAAAAAAGCCTTATTCCAGATTTTGGTGTCTGAAAGAGTCCTGGAAGTCATCTCCAGAACACCAAGAGACCACTATTATTGAAATTAAATCATTTTAGAACTTCTATTTTCTGTTACATAAGGTTTTGTTGTTGTTGTTTTGGTGGAACTGGGAATTGAACTCAGGCTCTTGCACTTGCCAGGGAAGTGCTTATTCCACTGAGCCATCTCCCCGACCCCTTGTTGTTGTTTTTACTAGGTGCTGGGTACTGAAGCCAGGCCTCCTCACATATGCTAGGCAAGCACTCTTTTGCTGAGCTATATACTCTTGCTCCTTTTTTGAAACAAGGTCTCACTAAATTGCCAGGCTGGCCTCAAACTCATGACCATCTTACCTCAGCCTCCTAAGTAGCTGAGGTTACAGGCATGTGCAACATGCTGACACACTGAGCATCTTCTGAATGCTAAGCACACCCTGGCTAGTAGTGGCCATCACCCTGGCTGGTGGGTTGGGGAGCTGAAGTTAGGGTTAGAGGTGGGACACAGGAACAGCAAGGGCCAAACCTGCCAAGATTCCCCTGTGGAGACTGTCATGCATGGGGACTGGCTGCAGGAGCACTGTGGTGACCTCAGGGCCGTCTGGCAGGGCTACCCTGGCTGCTGGTCACACCCAAGGCTGAGTACTTAAGAGCAACGCAGGGAGCCGGAGGCTAAGCAGAGAAAACAGGCACAGCCAGCAAATCCTGAACTCCACAAGACCCCCAAGAAGCGCTGGAGACTTGCCCAAGGAAAGCCCTGGAATTTCCCAGCACAGATGAGCAGAAGGTGGGGAGATGTGCTCCTTCTAGCACCCTTTTACACTGGGTCCTTCCCTATCCCAACATATTTATTTATTTATGTACTGGGGATTGAACACTGACACCACTGAACTATCTCCCTGGCCCTATCCCAACAAAATCCAATCACTCCCTATCTCCCTATCCATATTCAGACATGGAAAACAAATATGGAACATCAGTTTAAATCTGATAAACCTGGACCCGACTTTAGGTTTTACTTCAGGGAGGTTCTCTGACATCCGAGGGGGTATTTTTCTTTAAAAGGGCTGAGATGCTGCACATGGTGGTGCGCACCTGTCATCCCGCCACTGAGGCGAGAGGGTCACCGCCAGTTTGAGGCCAGTCTGGGTACATTGTGAGTTCAAAATCAGCCTGGACTACATAGTGAGATCCTGTCAAATACATACATACATACATACATACATATATACATAAATGGCCTGGGAAATTTACAGTTGTACTGATTTTTAAAGAAAAGAAGAGGACGTCTGCGAAACTATTAGAGGACCATCAGACCGGTTCCAGTTGAGGTCCTCCCAGGAAACACTGGCCCAGCGGTCTTCATCATCCAAGAGAGAACGTCCCGCTAACAAGCATCTCAGAGAGGAAGAACCAGGGGAAAACAGAGATCTGACACACATTTAGTATAAGAAGTTAACAATACAGGAAATTAATTGTGCCATACCAAAGACTCTTGCTTAAAACTTTTCTACATAACTATTCTGAAATGTTCATTTTAAAGAAAGGGTTAAAAAAGAAGCAAGGGGGCCGGGGAGACGGCTCAGTGGAATAAGCGCTTCCCTGCCAAGAGCAACGACCTGAGTTCAATCCCCGGTTCCGCAAAAAAAAAAAAAGCAAGTTCCTGATATAGCTAAGGAAGCAAACATAGGTTAAATATCAGTGACGCTGACTTACCAATAGACTTTTTTTTTGGTGGAACCAGGGATTGAATTCAGGTCCTTGCGCTTGCCAGGCAAGCACTCATTCCACTGAGCCATCTCCCGGGCCCCACCAATATACTTTTAAAAACACTATCATTTCAACACATACATTAAAAGCCTGCACTGCTGTAGTTTTTCAACTGAAACTACGTTAAGTAAAACCAAAAACTCCCTCCTATACGCGCAGGAGTCTAACTTCCAAGGCTCGGCGGCTGGAGCACCGCGCGGGCGGGGAGCAGGCGCCGTCGCTTCTTCCCAGGGGACCCTCAGGCTCGGGGGTCCGAATTCAGGGACCCGAGGGCAGGCGTCTGTGCACTCGATCGCAAGGACCCCGGCGACACCCAGGGGCCCTGGAGGGGACGCCCTCCACGCACACGGGCCTCGGGGACACAGCACCCTCCCGCCAGCCCAGGGCGTGCGGCGCACCTGTCCCAGTTGGAATCCCAGAGGCTGGGTCCTGGCTGGGCGCCCTCGGTCCAGGCCGGCGGCTCGGGCGCGCGCGCATCCGCATCCCCGCCGCCGCGCGGCTTGCCCACCGCCACCGCAGAGAGCAGCACGGCCGCCGAGCCCCCCGCCAGCCCGCAGGCCGCGAGCTGCAACGCCTGTCGGAACGCCATACCGCCCGAGCGCCTGGTAGACGGAGCGCCGCGAGGGCCAGGCTTCCGCACGCGTTCGCTCCTGGCTGCCGGAAGTCCCGCCCCTCTCTCCTAGGTGCGCGGGGACCCCTGGGAGTTCCCACAGTCTTGCGGACAGCTGCGACGCGAGCTGACCAGTAGGCGCGCGCACGTGGGGATTGCGCGCGGGTGCGAGGCGTGGGCTGCAGCAGGCGGACTCCGGAGCTCGCCGGGCGCCCCGCGCAGGTTCAGGGAGCCCGGCACCTCCCGGCGGTGTCCCCAGCTCAACCATTGGTACTGTAGGCGCTACAGTATCCAGGAGCCAGACCCTTTCTCCGCAGTCTCCAGAGAATGCTTATTGGGGCGCCTGCAGTATCCACCTCACCTGGGGCCGGGGAGATGGCTCAGTGCAAGGTCCTGAGTTCAATCCCCCCCCCAAAAAAGCTTCCACCTCACCGAAATCAAAAGACCAGAGGGAGCAGCCGGCCGCTTTTAGGACTAACGCTCCTGCCTGCCACAGGGGATTAGGATTAAGCCCGGGGCCTTCACGCTGAGTTTCGTCCCCAGCCCTTTAGTTTTTAAGACAAGGCCTCTCTACATCGTGTTTGCCCAGTATGGACCCAGACTTTCAGCACTCCTGCCTCAGCCTTCCAGAGTGCTGGGATGACGAGCCTGCACCACATGCCTAGCTTTTCAGACCTTTTCATGAATTCCTATCTTCCAAATATAATTAAAACATTGATCAAGACACCCTGACTCAAGAATAAGAAAAACTACTTCCTTACAAAACAGTGTCAAGGGGCCAGGGAGATGGCTCAGTGGAATAAGCGCTTCCCTGGAAAGCACAGGGCCTAAATTCAATCCCCGGTTCCATCCATCAATCAATCAATCAAAGTGTCGAGCTCATTGAACTGCTTACAGGCACCCATTTTTACATCATTGCATGTCTAAATGGGAGACTGGCAGCACCCAAGATGCGTGAAAGAAGCTGAGTGAATGGCCTGTGGCCTATGCTAAGCCACAGGTAGGGGAATAACAATTCACGATGCTGCCAGCGAGACAGCTCGGCGGACTAAGCCCCTGCTTAAGCAAGCGCAGGCGGACCGGGGTTCGATCCCAGGTATGGCATGTCGTATTGGCCCAGCTCCCAGGAACACTGAGCTGGCGACCGAGTCCGGACGGGTGGTGCATGCCTGTAATCCCAGTGCTGGGGAGGTTAGAAACAGGAGGATCAATATGAGTCCGACCTGCGTAGTGAAACCCTGTACAAATAATAATAATCATCATAATAATAACGTTACTACGAGTAATGCAAGTCTCGTTGCTACATTGTGTGGGCTGGGCTCAAAGCGGTTCAGGTAATTTGCCCTAGCTGCCAGAGCAGGTGGCTAACTATTGTGCACTGCTGCACCTCGCTGATCCCCAGAGTTGAACACAGTCTTCTGAGACCAAGAGCCTTACGTCAGCATCACACCAGGCGAGTGGGGCCCTCGGGAAGGGGCTGGAGGTACTGTAAGTGCCCCAGCTTCCACTGGCACTGCCCACCAATGCACACTGAATCACAAGAGCAGTCTCTGAGGAAGTCAGGTGATTGGGTATGAGGAGCACAGACGTCCACGGTGGCAGAATGGGCAGTGCAGCTAACACCAGCAAGTACAGGGCAGTAAAGCACTTAAAGGCAAGGGCCTGAGTAGACAGATAAGCCCAGGAGATTGGGGTGCAAGGCACGCTGGTCTCCTGACATCAGAGGGCTAGCAAAGATGACAACCACATTGCAAATTTCATGTTTGTGCTCTGACCACAAGAGCCCCCAAAGTCTGCATAAACCCCTGGACGTGGGCACCATGGGGCACCCTCCCTTGGAGTGCTTCCTGGCTAGCAGGCACTTTCTTGGTTCTTTGTCTTCCTAAAATGAAATGCACCCAGTTCATTCTCCACTGCTGTGTCCACGGATTTCATTCTTTGATGCCTTTAGGATAAGAGCTTGGAGGGAAGATAAAATTGGTAACACAATGCCCAGCCTTAAAAAGGGCATTTGAAGGTTTGAGTGCCAGCCAAATATCTATCTATCTATCTATCTATCTATCTATCTATCTATCTATCTATCATCTATCTATCATCTATCTATCTATCATCTATCTATCTATCTATCATCTATCTATCTATCATCTATCTATGTATCATCTATCTCTATCTATCTATCATCTATCTATCTGTCTATGCTGACACGCCACAACACCGATGAACCTGGACAATAAGAAAATACCAAAGACTGGATAACTTATTTATTTTTTGTATTTTAGGGAAGGGTCTGCAGGGTGTTCAGGGTCTCAGCACTAGATAGGACTTGTAGTGATCCACTTACTTACAGCTTCCCAGGAGCTGGGATTACAGGCGTGCGCCATCTCAGCATGCCCCGGGGGTGGGGCCAGCACTGCAGGCCGGGGGATCCAACGCTCAGCCCCTGTACCTGCTTGCTGACCCTTTAATCCGCTGAGCTATTTGGCCAGCCCTAAGACTGGATAATTTATAAGTAATGGACATTTATTTCTCACTCTGGAGGCTGGAAAAGTCCAAGATCAGTGTGCACTGGTGAGAGCCCAATCTCTTGACTCCAAGATGGCACCTGGCTCTGAATCCTTCAGTGGGGAAGGGTGCTATGTTCTCACTTGGCAGGAAGGGCCTGTGGAGGTGAACTCTTACCCATCTTTTATATGGGTATCAATCATTCATAAGTGACTTCATTACACTCCCCAAGGACTCCTTTTTTTCTTTTCTGTGGTGCTGGGAATTGAACTCAGGGCCTGGCACATGCTGTGAAAGCACTCAGCCGCTGAACCAGCTCCCCAGCTCTTTTTACTAAATTTAACTAATTTTTTGCATTACTAGGGATCAAACTCAGAGGCCCATTACCACTGAGCTACAGTCCCAGCATTTTTTATTTATTACTGCTTCATACCTAATAGTAACCCTAAATAGCGGCTTCTGGGCCGCCCGCGCTCCTGCCCGCTGAGCCCCTCCCCAGCGCACTGCCCTGCTCCGGCCGGGCCAAGCGAGCAGAGCATCAACTCGTGCAGCATGTTCAGCTTGCAAAACCTGATGTTTGGTGAACTCTACTGCAGGCAATCTCATTGAAGGCTGAATTTTGTCATGTCTGTCCCCCTTTTCAATGTAAGTGGAAAGATTTTTTTTTTTTTTGCGGAACCAGGGGTTGAACTGAGGCCCTTTCGCCTGCCAGGGAAGCGCTTATTCCACTGAGCCATATCCCGGCCCCAGTGGAAAGAAATTTGATTATCTGACCAATTATTTTGGTTTTGAAGTACTTTGAGGGTGTGGGTCGTACTGCTTATCACTTTAGACCTGTAGTTCTCACACTGCCTGCTTGTTAGTACCTCTGCTGGGCTGGACTCTAGAGAGCTCAGTCGTTCTGAGGTGTGCCCTGGATCGACCTGGGCTTCTAGGCACCATCCATTTCCTGTATTCCTTTACCCGGCAGGCAGGATTGAGAAGCACCAGGCTAATGGCAGTTTTTCCTTTTGGTTTTTTTTTTTTTGGTGGAACTCAGGCCCTTGCACTTGCCAGGCAAGCGCTTATTCTACTGAGCTATCTCCCTGCCCCGAGTTTTTCCTGTTTAAAGGAGATGACTAATAGGAGTGGAAGCAATGCCTACAAATAGAATAGTTTTATTATTTTATGCCTTTTTTTTTTTTTTTTTTTTTTTTTTTTGCGGAACCAGGGATTGACTCAGCCCTTGCGCTTGCCAGGGAAGCGCTTATTCCACTGAGCCATCTCCCCGGCCCTGTTGTTGATGACATTAAAGTCGAACTTCAGAAAAGATGATAAATGCCAATAATGAAAAAAAAAATTTATATGTAGTATAAGATTTAAGTATAAGGCAGTAAGAGAACTGAAGCCAAACATCGTGGTGCACATGATTCGAAGTGCTCTACCACCACTTCTTACCTATGTAATAAGCAACGTATTTTCATCCCTAAGCCTTATTTCTTACCTGTAAAATGAGAAATAAGAAATAGTATCTACCAAAAGAAACAAAAACAAACCCCCCCTGTATCTGGTGTCTACATTCAAGCCCTGCCAGGTATTACTCTACGTGAAATAAACCAGTCATACGTAAAGGGACAAATACTGTGCGAGTCCACTCACATGAGATGGCTAGACTCAAATTCAGAGACAGAAGTGGGGTGGGGCCAGGAGTCAGGGAAGGGGAAGGGAGCTGCTGTGTCAGCAGGAGACGAAGCCCTGGGACGGATGGCAGTGACGGCCACGCAGGACTGTGACTGTGCTTATGCCAAACTGTTATTTTACCACAGTGCACACACACAAAAAGAACACACTTGGCTGTTTCTCCCAAGCATTGGAAACTCCTGAGCAATCACAATCACCAAGGAAGTGGCTCCGTCGCAGTTTATTGAGACTCTTGTTGGGTTCAAGGCAGCACCTAGTACCATCTCTGTCATGTGAGGGGGCAGCTGCTTCCCACTCAAGATTGAGAACCCCAAGGCTTCTGTTTCTCCAGTTGTCATTTTGATGCACCATGAGTCATATTCACCAAGCGTCAGGTGGATCCCACCTGCCCTGGCCCCGGCTCTCCCTCTGATGGGGCTGCCCAGCCCATCCGCTGTGCATCCGAGATCCTCCTCAAGCTTGTCACTGGCCCAGAGAGGACAGGTAGGCGTACCAGAACAGAGCCACCAGGTTGGCAAAGAGCACCCGGAACTGCCAAGGGAGTCCAACAGAGGTGGCATCACCAGGACAAGCATGCCGTCATCTCCCCACCCACTGTTCTACTTACTGAGTTTTAGTTTGTACCAAACTCAGTGCTAGACCCAGCAGAGGCAAGGGGGCAAGCTGTCCACCTGCCAGTCCATTCTAGGCTGCCAGGCAGCGCCTCATCCAGCAGTGCCCATCCCACCACAGGGCACATTTGTGTTCTTCGTGTCCGTGGCCGCTGTAGATGCACAAGCATCTGCTTTCCTCAGAGCTGCTCTTGAGGCGCAGTGTGCATCGGGGTGGGGTGGTTCCCAATGGGAGCAGAAGGCTGGAGAGGGCAGACCGCCATCCCTTTCCTTCATTGGATACACTGTCACCAGTGCTGCACCCTGGTGTTTGTCTGGCACCTGCCCCCACCCAGAGTCACCTGCTGGCAGGAGCGCTCTCCCTGCCATGTGGGTCCATGACAGCAGTAGCCTGTTGGCTCACCAGCCATGCAGCGCCCACTATGTACCTACTGAATGCCCTTTCTGCCCCTTATGACCCACCCATATGTACCCATCTGAAACGGGAACTGTGATGGTTAACCTTCTGTTTCTTCCAGTACTGGGGAATGAACCCAGGACTTTCCCACTAACCTACATCCCCAATACTTTTTCATGCTGCCACTGGGCCTCAGTAAGTGGCCTAATTGCCCAGGCTGGACTCAGAACTTTCAGTCCTTCTGCTTCAGCCTCAGAGTACTGGGATCACAAACATGTGCTGCTATGCCCAACAGTGACAGTGAATTTTGATTTTCTTGAAAGCAGCTGCCTTGGGGGATTAGTACAGTGCACCCTTAGACAGAGACTGGTCCCTGGCCCTTCTTCTTTGGCACTCTTTGTCCATATGCTGCTATCCAGCTGCCAAGAAGTTAGCAGCTCCTAGCCAGGAATGGTGGCACACACCTATAATTTCAGCACTTAGAAGGCTGAGGCAGGACGATCACCATGAGTTTGAGGCCAGCCTAAACTGAATAGCGAGACCCTATCTCAAAAAAACCCAACCAGGGCCAGGGAGATGGCTCAGTAGAACAAGCACTTGCCCGGCAAGCACAAGGGCCTGAGTTCAAGCCCCAGTTCCACAAAAACAAACAAACAAAAACCAACCAACCAAACAAACAAACATGGCACATTCCTGCCCTGTGGCCAGCAACTATGGGCTGAGCCCTTTGGAACTGAGCTAAACCTCTGACTGGAGGTGCCAGGGACGGCACGGCAGCAAGCGAAGCTCCTCTCCATCTCCACGCCAGAAGCCACCAGGCAACTGCCTGCATACGGAGACCTGTGAAGGCACCAGTCTGCGGGCCTGGAGGAGCCCCACTGCCTTGCCCTGGATGCTCATGAACCCCGCGCATCCGCAGGCAGCACACCTGTGGTGAGGCGTGGCCACGCTGCCCCAGCCTCCAGCCACCTGACTCCTGTTTCTCTCTACCTCTACTGTGAGAAAGCCTAGGCTGTCCTGCAAGTCACAGTCCTCCAGCTGCCCGAGTGCTGCTGGCATGACAGACATGTGCCACCACACATGGCTCCCTAATACGTACTGTTCAGCCGGGTACAGAAAACAGGTTCCTGAGCAGCCCTGGCCCACCTCCCTGACAGGGCTGCAGCACAGCCCCAGGCTGGGTACCCAGGCATTATGAGGACCCTTCCCTCCCCTGACCTGCTCTCTAGGTTTGGACAAGGTACCTCGTGTCCAGCTCCCAGTGAGACTAAAGGGGGCCCCGTGCTAGAACGGGTATGGGTTGCTCAGACCCAGCAGAGTCCTGCCTGCATGTGCTGCACCCTGAACCCTCGAAATCTGGAGCCCTCATGGGTACTGGCAGGCTGGGAGTAGTGACAGCAGGTCCCTGGATCCAGCTGTCCTGCATCCCTACCAGCCCAGAAAATCCAGCTGTGCCACCCTTTTTCAGTGGGCAGCAGCCCCTGAAGACTACAGGTTCTCCAAAAGGGCCACTTGTGCACAGCTGAAGCGTGGCTATGTCTGCGGCTCAGTGGGCTCCTGAGCCTGGCGAACCAGGAAGCCCGGCTAACACTAAGCCACGGGCGTCCCTGGTGCCGATTCTGAGCTGAATCTGCGGACTGCATGGATGGCAGTGGCTCTGCAGCTGCACACACAGGACACAAACACTCAGGGAGAGGACACGGGGCTCGAGGGAAGGCACAGCTTGCTCGGAGCCCGCGCACACAAGGCTGCAGGAGGCCTCACCTGCAGGGGCACGTAGTTGATGTTGATGAACTGCACTGGGGTCCACACACGCCAGTTCATCCGCAGGGCGGGCCAGAAGCCGCTCCTCACCCTGGCGACAAGGGCTGCAGTGTCCTTCCCCTGTAAGAGGCAAAGGTGGTGAGCAGCCACTCGGGCCACCCAAGCTCAGAGTGAATGTTGTGTTTTCTGAGGCAGGACCTCAGGCTGGCCTCAACTCATGGCAATTTTTCTGCCTCAGTCTCCAGCCTGCTATTATAGGCATGCACTACCATGCCTGGCCAGAAGGGCACACTGAAGCACATAAGGTTTCAGAACTTTCATATGGAGCAAAGCACTGTTGATACTTTTGCTTATATAGTTTTAACTTTAGACAGACATTTTTAACTTATATAAAATTTACAAACTGGCCAGGGGTGATGTTACACGCCTGTAATCCCAGGACTCAGGCAGCTAAGGTAGTGGGTTTACTGAGTTTGAAGCCAGCTTGGGCTATCTAGTGAAACTCTGTCTCAAAAGTAACTAACTAAAAACCGCAAAATGAAAAAAAAATATTTGTGATCTGTATTTGATAAAAGACTGATATTAGTATGTGCAAATATATAGACCTGTGAGAAAAACACTAGTGAAAGATAAAGTTTGGGGAGATAAAGCTGGGGAGACAGAGCCAGCCAGATGGCTCAGTGGATTAAAGCGCCTGCTTAGGCATAGCACAGCGGCTGGGGCTGGATCCCTGCGTGCCATGCAGGCCCTGCCCCTGGGTTGGTTTGAGAGGTGTGAGCCTGTAATCCCAGTAATTGGGAGGCTGAAAACAGGAGGATCACTATGAATCTGATCTGTGTGGTGAGACCCTGTAGACCTTGTACTAAAAAAAAAAAAAAAAAAAAAAAAGCTGGGGAGATAGCTCAGTGGTCTAAATGCCTGCCTGGAGCACAAAGACCCAGGTTTGATCCCAGGTACCACATGCAGGGTGCGGGTGCGACACATGCAGGCAGGACTCTGCTGGGTCTGAGCAACCTGTACCCATGCCATGCTGGCCCCAGAACCCTGGGCAGACCATGCCAGCCACTGAAACCGGGTATGTTGGCACATGCCTGTAATCCCAGTGTTGGGGAGAATCACTGAAATGGGAGGATCACTATGAGTCCAAGCTGCATAGCAAGACCCTATACCAAATAAATAAAACATTAAAAAATTAAAGTTCAGGGAAAAAATACACATAGCAGGTAAATACATATATAATCATTCAACCTTACAAATATACACAAGTAAGTTCAGTTTTTCACCAACAGCTGTGATAGTGAACCTTGTGGGGCTTTCAGCGATACAAGCAGCCTACTCCAGCACACAAGTCATAGGTTTGCTGCCGCGGGGCTTTAGGGTTCCAGACTTTGAAAAGCTTCTGCTGTATCCAAGACAGCCTTATGCTTTGGAGCCATGGGTAGCTCTAGCACCCTGCTGATGTCTAGGGACACCTCAGTATTGTTTCATGAGTGTATAAAATAAAATACACGGGACTCAAAGTAACTCATTATACTCAAATACAGTTGTCAAAACAGGGCAGCACTCCCAGGATAGTACATGGGCTCCTGGTCGGCACATCCAGTAGGGTGTCATCAGGTACGATCGAGAACGATGCACACCAAGGTGCCCGAAATTGTGTCTGCAGTTCCCCCGGAGATAGGGTGCTGTTAATACTGTGTGGCCAGCTGCTACGCTTACACAGAAAGACATGCATTCTAGCCGAGTGTGGAGGGGCGCCCAGACCCTCAGAGTCTGCAGACACCTACCTCGAGCAGGTTCATGGTGAGGAAGAACAGTAGCTGGAAGGCGGGGGCAAAGAGCAGGCGGTCCAGGAGCAGCCTCTTAGCGGCAGCCAAGGGAACATCAGGAGGGACCCAGTGCTCCAGGAAGAGGTAGAAGTAGTGGCTCAGGGGGCCTGTGATGAAGAACCTGAGGCCCACAGGGTGTGAGCAGGACTGGTTCTCCACCCCAATCCATCCCTGTTCTATGGCGCCCCCTGAGGTGCTAATAAGTCTGGTGCCAGGCCTTCCTAAAAGGGGTGAGGGGGCTGGATGATGCCTCCCACCACATCTCCTCACATACCGCTATCTGGGGATAACACTTCTTTAAACATTATGGAAAAATGACTCAGGTGAGCATAACTGAAAGTACAGAAATGGTCTGTGTGAATTTTTTTTTAAATTTTATTTATTTATTTGTGTGTGGCCAGCTCAGCCCACCAGGGGGGCGGGGCTGGCTGGCATGTGGTGCTGGGGGATTGAACCGAGGTCCCTGTGCTTTGCTAAGCTTGTTCTAAGTAGGTGCTTTAGACCACTGAGCCATCTCACCAGCCTTTTTTTTTTTTTTTGTGGAACCAGGGATTGAACTCAGGCCCTCGCACTTGCCAGGCAAGTGCTTATTCTACTGAGTCATCTCCTGGCCCCTCATCTGTGTGAATTTTGAATTAAAAGAAATATTCTCAAGTTGGGGGATGTAGCTCAGAAGGAGAAAGCACAAGGCCCTGGGTTTAAGTTCTTAGCTCTGGAGGCAGAAAAAAAAAGGTGGGAATGGTGGATCACACACTTAATCCTGATACTTGGGAAGCTGAGGCAGAAAGATCAAGAAGCCAAGGCTGGCCTGGACTATAGAAGAAGACCTTGTCTCAAAAAACAAATCAAAAAAAAAAAAAAAAAAAAAGGGGGGGGGTCAGGAGACGGCTCAGTGGAATAAGCCGTCTGAAGGCCTGGTGTCAGCAGCCCTGCTCCGCCAGGGGTCCCTTGCAGTTCTCACCCGTAGGCTGCGTATCTCAGAGGCCCACGGGCATCTATGCTTTCCGAGTCTTCTTTCTTCTGCCTCTTCTTAATCATCTGGGCCAGGAGGTTCCCAAGTGCTGATAAAATGCCACTGTGGACAAAGGCACTCAGGAAACAGAAGCAACGGCCCTTAGGGGAAGGAGGCTGGAGCCCCCAGGGCTGTTCCGCGATCCCTGATGCGCTGGCGGGGCAGCAGTTGGGCGGCACGCCAACCTCACAAAGTCCAGGAGTTAGTTAAGGCAACCGTTTCTAGTGTGGACACATGACCCCAGATATGTGGTGAAACTGCACAAGATTCACGCACACTGAATACAAGAAAAATGGAAGAGAAATGTGGACATAATCCGTGGGGTGTTATAGGCTACATCTGCCTCAGATACTGTACCTTGACTTTGTAACTGTTTCCAAAGGGAAAGGTTCCTACCTCAGGGATTCCTAAGCTGGTTCTGTAAGGTGGAGATGAGCTTGTTACTCCCTCTGCAACTGGTCTACGGCTGCCTTGGGAACTATAAAATCCATAATTCTTAGCACAGCACGAGACCTTTTCATCTGACCTCTGGTTACTTCTTGGCTTTTTGTTTTACAGGGTCTCGCCACGCAGTTGAGGCTGGCCTTGAGCTCACTCTGTAGCCCAGGCTGGTCTCGAACTCGCAGCGATCCTCCTGCCTCAGCCTCCCGAGGGCTGGGATCCCAGGCGCGCGCCACCACACGCGGCCTTCCGCTCCTTCTCACTAGGTTCGGCCTGCGCGCGCTCCTGGGGACACCTGCCCACCCGCCGCGTCCTCCTCCCGGGGCGTCCCCGTGCGCTCCAAGTCGCCGTTCGGTGTGCCCCCGACCCCCGTCGTGCGGTCACCTCTGTCCTGCAGTTCTTCACGAGAACCTCGCGGGGCCGGCGACACCCGCAGCGGCGCCCGCACTGCTCGGGCGCCGGGTCCACGGAGGACACCGCGCTGCGGGCGACGCGCACCGGGCGGACGCCGCCACGGCTCCCCTCCCGCTCGCGCCCACCTGGTGGCGGCCTTGGTGAGCGCCGGGTACAGCCGCAGCAGCAGCAGGTAGCGGGCGAGCGCGCGCCGCGGAAACGCCCGGACCACCGCGGGCTCCGCACGCCCCTTGGACGCGGCGGGCGCCATCTCCGCCTGCGTCTCGGCCTCTGCGGCGCGCCGCC